TGCCAGCAAATTTGGAAAACTCAGCAGTGGCCGCAGGACTGGAAAAGGTCAGTTTTCATTCCAATCCCAAAGAAAGGCAATGACAAAAAATGCTCAAACTACCACACAACTGCACTCATCTCACACACTAGGAAAATAATGCTCAAAATTCTCCAAGCCAGGCTTCAACAGTACATGAATCATGAGCTCCCAGATGTTCAAGCTGGATTTAGAAAAGCCAGAGGAACCAGAGATCAAATTGCCAACATCCGTTGGATCATCGAAAAAGAGAGAGAGTTCCAGAAAAACATCTACTTCTGCTTTATTGAGTGTGTCAAAGCCTTTGACTATGTGGATCACAACAAACTGTGGAAAATTCTGAAAGAGATGGGAATACCAGACCATCTGACCTACCTCCTCAGAAATCTGTATGCAGGTCAAGAAGTAACAGTTAGAACTGGACATGAACAACAGACTGGTTCCAAATCGGGAAAGGAGTACGTCAAGGCTGTATATTGTCACCCTGCTTATTTAACTTATATGCAGAGTACATCATGAGAAACACTGGACTGGATGAAGCCGAAGCTAGAATCAAGACTGCTGGGGGAAATATCAATAACTTCAGATATGCAGATGACACCACCCATATGGCAGAAAGCGAAGAACTAAAGAGCGTCTTGATGAAAGAGGAGAGTGAAAAAGTTGGCTTAAAACTCAACATTCACAAAACTAAGATCATGGCATCTGGTCCTATCTCTTCATGGCAAATAGATGGGGAAACAGTGGAAACTGACAGACTTTACTTTTGGGGCTCCAAAATCACTGCAGATTGTGACTGCAGCCATGAAATTAAAAGACACTTGCTCTGTGGAAGAAAAGCTATGAGCAACCTCGACAGGCAATAAAAAAGGCAGAGACATTACTTTGCCAACTATGGCTTTTCCAGTAGTCATGTATGGATGTGAGAGTTGGACTGTAAAGAAAGCTGAGCACTGAAGAATTGATGCTTTTGAAATGTGGTGTTGAGAAGACTCTTGAGAGTCCCTTGGACTGCAAGGAGATCCAACCAGTCCATCCTAAAGGAAATCAGTCCTGAATATTCACTGGAAGGACTGATGTTGAAGCTGAAACTCCAATACTTTGGCCACCTAATGCGAAGAACTGACTCATTTGAAAAGACCCTGATGCTGGGAAAGATTGAAGATGGGAGGAGAAGGGGATGACAAAAGATGAGATGGTTGGGTGATGTCACTGACTCAATGGATATGAGTTTGAGTAAATTCCGGGAGTTGGTGATGGACAGGGAGGCCTGGAGTGCTGTAGTCCATGGGGTTGCAAGTTTCGGACATGACTGAGCGACTGAGCTGAACTGAACTGATTTCCTCTTCATTCCTCATCCTTTTACAATCTGGCTTTTATCCTCATAATCTTACTGATATGCTTTACTCAGCATATTCATATGTCCTCCATGCAATATTTAGTGATTTGTACTCTTACTTTCTCTCTTTTTGCATATCCTACCACCATTTCAAAATCACGTGTAAAAATAATTATTCTAATATTCTTTGCATATTAATTCCCCACCTATGTACTTCTTTCTGCCAGTTGTAGAACTAGTCACCGATTTCAAGCTCTTGAGGTCGTCACCCCTCTCCTACTTACTGAAATACTGCTTCTTCTCTTGTAATATTTCCTTCCAGTCTTCTGCATGCGTGCAGTTACCACAGTAGCTCTGAATTCTCTCATTTCTCAGTCGTCGTCTATCATATCATTCCGTTGGGTATGTTCTCAAACTTCTAGTTTTCCAATATAAACATATTAATAATATGACCACATCTATGATTTCAAATTGTCTGATAGCAACATTAATAGCATAAAAAGTAAAATTGATTTTATTTGTTTTTTTAATTCATATCAGTATATCCAAATTATTAGTATTTCAATATTAATGAGATACTTTATATTTTTTCTAATCTTTGAAATCCAGTTTGCATTTTATGCTTAGAGCATATCTCAAGTCAGACTAGCACATGTCCAGTGCTCAATTATTATATATAGCTTTTATATTCATTAATATGTTTAGTAAGTAACTTAGAAATATAAGTACATGTTTTATAATCCAGTATTCTAGTAACAGAAATCAGCATGAAAAAGTTGTATGACTTGATATGTTTGGCTTTCTCCTAAATTTTCTCTCTCAGTGAATAAAATAAACCTACAAATTAGCTATAAGTTACAATTTATGCTGATGTAATTCTTTCAGTAAAATTAGTTTACTCTAAGCATGCCATTTGTGAAATACATGGAGAAGAAAAAAATAGACCTATATTATTAGTAAGGTAAATTATCAGCTATCCTGTGTTACCTGAATAAAAATTATCAGAAATAAACCTTTAAAAATTTAGTATTGTTCATCACTTATGCCCTTTAGGTCATACACATTTGTAAGATCTTCTTACTTTTACACAGCTTGTAGTCTCCAACTTGATTCACAGAAAATTCCTTTGCTACAAATGGAAATGTATCTTTAAATTTTAGCATCTTCTCACTTACTTTTCATGAATGTATTCATTAAAAAAGAATATGTAGTTCCATGACACACTTTCTGAACAAATGTCCTGTTAGGTCATTCTTCTAAAGTGTTTGTTGAATATAATCTTTTGATAATTAATTCCTCACTGAAATGAAACAGCTCTTTTATAAAGCTAAATTCTTAGGTCTCAAACTGTTTGATCTTTTTCATCCCTGTGTCAGAGTGTTCTGCTCAAAAAAGAATGCAAAAAAGCAACTTGCTTTCTTTTGAAAAGTGGAATTCTAATCAGTTCTGGACAGACTGAGATAATGACCTCATTTTAGACAGAGTACTCCTAATTGCTAACAGCTTCATGTCGTTTTTCATACTTCACTTATTATCACAATAGCTATATTTTTGCTTTGATACCAAGATTCTTCATATATCTTTTTCCTTTATTTTATTATTATTAATTTTCAGATGAAAGTTAGTTTTTATAGTATTGTTATAATTTTTCTTCACTAAGAGGGCATTTGCATATTTGAAAATCATTTATTCTTAATTATTTATGGTTTCTGCCACCTTATATAATTTCTGGCTTTAACTAAGACTACATTGAAATGGTAAATTCAGGAGAGAGTTGAGAACTTTTTTTCTCCACACTGTCTCAATTTCCTCCAATTTCTGCATTCTTTAAAGATGCTGGCTATTTCTTTATCAATGGAAATGAAATAGATAAATCAGTGGAGAATCTGGCATTAACCATGTGTGCAAAGTGGGTTACAATAATATTAAACAATAATATTAACTTAGTTTTCTACTTTATTTACACTTTAAGTCTAACTGGAAAATCCTATACAATGATTTTTAGAAATATAAATTCCGATATTATGAAATGCTTGGGACTTCCTTATATTTTACACAACCAATCTTAATGGAGAAAATTGTTTAGACCCAGGGATGGAACCTGTGTCTCTTTTGTCTCCGGCATTGTCAGGCCAATTCTTTACCACTAGCGCCACCTGGGAAGCCCTATATTTCTAAATTCTTGTTATTTACTTTTTAATAAGAAGCAACCACTTAATTTACATCATCTCAAATAAATTAATTTTTCTGAACATAGATTCATCATCAGTATTTTGTTGTTGTCTTTGGAACGATGCAGAAAGGAGCTTGAAAGCTGAGTTTGTCTAAAGCAAAACAAAGGCTTACATGATCATCTTGAAATTTATTATCTTTCTAATTGAATTGCTTGGAAATGTTGTTTTGTGATTAATACCTGAACCTCTTAAGTTCATGTTATGCCTTCAATGGAATCTCTCCACCTATTTTACAAAAAGGAATTCTTACTTGGCTAGACAAACCCAACTTTTGAAATTCCTATTGTCTTATTTGAAGTAATGAAGTGTTGAATTATATCAGGACCAATAAAGTACACTACATAGAAGCTGTCAGGTACTTCTTTTTTTAGCATAATTAGAATTTGGCATGCTTTATGTTTCATAAAAGTTTCTACTATGTAACAAAAGTGAGTTATGAGCTTTCAAATAAAAAACCTAAAAATCTACATTTAAAGTGCAAGATTTTCTAAGCTAACCATTGTTGTTGTTCAGTCACCCAGTCGTGTCTGACTCTTTGCCACTTCATGGACGGCAGCATGCCAGGCCTCCCTGTTCCCCACCATCTCCTGAAGTTTGCCCAAGTTCATGTTTATTGCATCCGTGATGTTGTTTAACCATTTCATCCTCTGACGTCCTCTTTTCCTTCTGCCCTCAAGCCCAGCACCGGGGACTTTTCCAGGGTGCTAACCATTTACACACACATACATATATCTCAGAGTCTAATATTTCATCATAATGTATGTATTGAATCTTAATATAGATTCCTAATGGAGAGTGTCAGAAAATTAATCTTAGAATTAAGGTTTTTTGAAAGTAGGAATTAAAAATAATATGTCAGAGACTGATAAACACTGTGTTGGATAAATAAATATCAATAGTGTTCAATGATAAACTCTTATCTGATGCTTAATTCTGTTAAACCGTCTTGTGATACAAGTCTTTGATTTTTGAAATAAGTTTTTATTGTAAAAAGAATAGGGAAATGTAAAGATACTTAAAGCTACTGTATTTGATAAAATCTAAAATGCTTCTGATTTTAAGTTTCACTACTAATTTATGTACTTCCAAGTCAGAAAAAGCACCACCAGATAAACCATGACATACCTTAGGCTGAAAGACTAATCCCAGTTTTGAGTTGTTAAAATGTGAAAACATTGTCATTGTAAAATTGATGAGATAGTGCTTTTACATAATCTCCTAATCCGAACTTTGAGACTTGCTCCTTTTCTTAAAATAGTTTGACTTTTGATTAAAGCTTGACTTAACAGAAATGAATGCATGGTGAAATAAGAAATCACTTTAATTTTTTTTTAAACCTAAATTTTGATTTGCTTGGTGATTTTAAAGTAAGAGAAAGTTTAAATGCCCTTACCTGCTTGCCAATGCAGGTTAGGAGTAAGAGACATGGGTTTGATCCCTGGGTCGGGAAGGTCCTCTGGAGAAGGTCACAGCAACCCACTCCAGTATTCCCATGGACAGAGGAGCTTGGAGAATCCCATGGACAGAGGAGCCTGGCGGTCTGCAGTCCATGCGGTTGCAGAGTTGAACACTACTGAAGTGACTTGGCACGCACGCATGCACATGAGGTAGGTGGCAAATGACTGTTGATCATTCTGAGTGAGAAACCTACACTAAAGTTAGGAACAAAGTTGGGACAGATTTAAGAGCAGTTTAAAAAATTAATTCATTTTTAATTGAAGGATAATTGCTTTACAATATTGTGGTGGCCTCTGCCTTAGGTAACAATTTAAGTGTTAGAGGAAGAAGAGAAGAAGGCACTCTAGATGGCGGGAAGATAACTGAGAGAAAGTGGTGTCCTGACTGACTTATTAGGACTCAATGGAAGTGACAGGCGTTAAGGAGGTATTAGCAGCCATATTCTTTGCACAACAGGCAAATTAAAAGTCACTGATCTAAAATCAAGAGGCCTCTGAACTAGTTTGTGTTTGAAAAAAGTTCAAGAGACACATATTTTGAATAGCTGAAATGAATGCTACTTAATTGGGCTATGAGTTTATGTATCTTTTAAATCTTTTAGCTGAAGTATTTTTAAGATTGGTAGGAAAAGTGACTAATCAGTTGATTTACTATTGTCTAAATATATATGTTGATATTACTAGGTAGGTTTTAGAAGAAAAGTCTAATTTTATCTTAAGAATAATACCAACTTGTCAAATATGATATCCTTGTTTTTTTCTCAGTTATCTATTGACACCTAGATTCTATTCTATCTAGATGAAGAAGCATTTCTCTCCACAGGCACACACTGAATTCTCACCAAAAACTGACCCTGCAGAACATTCATCAGAATTTAACAGCTTTCAGAATTGTGAGAAATAAATTTCTGCAGTTTAAACCACTCAGTCAATGGTATTTTGTTACGGCAGCCTGAGCAGACTAATGCAGTAGATAAGCTTGGACAATTTTCTTGTGATCTCTAAACCTCTGTTTCTCATCTAGAAAATGGGTAGAGTATCTATTTCCTGGAGTTTTGTGAGGATTAAAGGAGATATGTGTATAATGTTTAGCAGAGTTCTGGACCCATAGCATGCACTGAGCTACTGGTATCTATTAATGCTTTCCCTGGTGGCTCAGTTGGTAAAGAATCTGCGTGCAATGCGGGAGACCTGGGCTTGATTCCTGGGTTGGGCAGATCCCCTAGAGGAGGGCTTGGCAACTGCTCCAGTATTCTTGCCTGAAGAGTCCCCATGAATAGAGAAGCCTGGCCAACTGCAGTCCATGGGGTCACACAGAGTTGGACATGAATGAGTGACTAAGCACAGCATAGCACATGTCGCAATTAAGTAGATGGAAATTTAGAGTATTGTATTCATCCAGGTCATACAGTTTGTTTAGTAATGGAGTTTGGTTTAATAATTGAAGCCCCTGACTCCCGCTGTTACTTCCTTGAATTTTTTCACACAGTCATACTCCTTTTGTGTGATCTGTGGATATATTTTTGAAATGTGTCATTTTGGAGATATAGTTTTAGGAGTCACACAAACCTGACTTTCAATTTGATCTTTGATATTTGGAAGCTATATAATCTCAGAAAAGTTACTTAGAATTTCAATTTTTCATTTGTAAACAATCTGTTTTCTCATCTATAAAAGAGAGAAAAGAATCTATCCTTTGTTGAACACACAAATCTACATATAAATATAGATGTAGGCATAAATATTGATATAGAGAGGGCTAATAGAGTGAATGTCTCATACATAAGATATTCTATAAATGATATTTAATTGTATAGTTTTAAGGTGATATTTTCATTGAATAACACTTTATTTTTTAAACATAACAACATTAAGAAATTTTTAGTTGACTTTATATCAAAGAGCCACACTAGATGTTTAATGATTTTTAAATATTTCCAAAATACATAATTATTAACAAAATATAAGCCTCTTTACAGGGTGCCCACTCTCACCACTACTATTCAACATAGTTTTGGAAGTGTTGGCCACAGCAATCAGGGCAGAAAAAGAAGTAAAAGGAATCCAGATAGGAAAAGAAGAAGTGAAACTCTCTCTGTTTGCAGATGACATGATCCTCTACATAGAAAACCCTAAAGACTCTACCAGAAAATTACTAGAGCTAATCAACGAATACAGTAAAGTTGCAGGATATAAAATTAACACACAGAAATCTCTTGCATTCCTATACACTAACAATGAGAAAACAGAAAGAGAAATTAAGGAAGCAATACCATTCACCATTGCAACAAAAAGAATAAAATACTTAGGAGTATATCTACCTAAAGAAACAAAAGACTTATACATAGAAAACTATAAAACACTGATGAAAGAAATCAAAGAGGACACAAACAGATGGAGAAATATACCGTGTTTGTGGATTGGAAGAATCAATATTGTCAAAATGGCTATACTACCCAAAGCAATCTATAGATTCAATGCAATCCCTATCAAGCTACCAACGGTATTTTTCACAGAACTAGAACAAATAATTTCACAATTTGTATGGAAATACAAAAACCTCGAATAGCCAAAGTAACCTTGAGAAAGAAGAATGGAACTGGAGGAATCAATCTGCCTGACTTCAGACTATACTACAAAGCCACAGTCATCAAGACAGTATGGTACTGGCACAAAGACAGAAATATAGATCAATGGAACAGAATAGAAAGCCCAGAGATAAATCCACGAACCTATGGTCACCTTATCTTTGACAAAGGAGGCAAGGATATACAATGGAAAAAAGACAACCTCTTTAACAAGTGGTGCTGGGAAAACTGGTCAACCACCTGTAAAAGAATGAAACTAGAACACTTTCTAACACCATACACAAAAATAAACTCAAAATGGATTAAAGATCTAAATGTAAGACCAGAAACTATAAAACTCCTAGAGGAGAACATAGGCAAAACACTCTCCAACATAAATCACAGCAGGATCCTCTATGACCCACATCCCAGAATTTTAGAAACAAAAGCAAAAATAAACAAATGGGACCTAATGAAACTTAAAAGCTTTTGCACAACAAAGGAAACTATAAGCAAAGGTGAAAAGACAGCCCTCAGATTGGGAGAAAATAATAGCAAACGAAGCAACAGACAAAGGATTAATCTCAAAAATATACAAGCAACTCCTGCAGCTCAACTCCAGAAAAAATAAATGACCCAATCAAAAAATGGGCCAAAGAACTAAACAGACATTTCTCCAAGGAAGACATACAGATGGCACAAAAACACATGAAAAGATGCTCAACATCACTCATTATCAGAGAAATGCAAATCAAAACCACAATGAGGTACCATTACACGCCAGTCAGGATGGCTGCTAGCCAAAAGTCTACAAGCAATAAATGCTGGAGAGGGTGTGGAGAAAAGGGAACCCTCTTACACTGTTGGTGGGAGTGCAAATTAGTACAGCCACTATGGAAAACAGTGTGGAGATTTCTTAAAAAGCTGGAAATAGAACTTCCATATGACCCAGCAATCCCACTTCTGGGCATACACACCGAGGAAACCAGATCTGAAAGAGACAAGTGCACCCCAATGTTCATCGCAGCACTGTTTATAATAGCCAGGACATGGAAGCAACCTAGATGCCCATCAGCAGATGAATGGATGAGGAAGCTGTGGGACATATACACCATGGAATATTACTCAGCCATTAAAAAGAATTCATTTGAATCAGTTCTAATGAGATGGATGAAACTGGAGCCCATTATACAGAGTGAAGTAAGCCAGAAAGATAAAGACCATTACAGTATACTAACACATGTATATGGAATTTAGAAAGATGGTAATGATAACCCTATATGCAAAACAGAAAAAGAGACTCAGATGTATGGAACAGACTTGTGGACTCTGGGAGAAGGCAAGGGTGGGATGTTTCAAGAGAACAGCATCAAAACATGTATATTATCTAGGGTGAAACAGATCACCAGCCCAGGTTGGGTGCATGAGACAAGTGCTCGGGCCTGGTGCACTGGGAAGACCCAGAGGGATCGGGTGGAGAGGGAGGTGGGAGGGGGGACCGGGATGGGGAATACATGTAAATCCATGGCTAATTCATTTCAATGTATGACAAAAACCACTGCAATGATGTAAAGTAATTAGCCTCCAACTAATAAAAATAAATGGGGAAAAAAAAGCCTCTTTACATATATGAATATCTTAGAGAGTTTCTTGAAACTATTCAAAAATTATCCCAAACGTAGATTTAGGATATTTGGTTAGGTAGACTTACGTCTAAGTGCTGGTATACTATTATTTTATCACTGAAGAACCACATGTATCTTTTGGAAAAATTGGGATAACATTCAGTAAGTAGTTTGTTGATACATATTAAGCACATCTCTTTTCAAGCATTTTATTCATAATGTAATTTCTTAAGAACAGGATTTTATTCCAGAGAACTTTTGTCTTAGGGTGGGTTGCCTGAACATAGGAGAGTTGGATGTACGAGATTTACTGAGGAGTCCCTTGGAAGTGAGAAAGACAGGTATGAGCAGGAGGAGAAGCTTATTTGCAATGTGGGTGCATCTGATAGGATCCAGCAGGGACTGGGACTGGAGTGTCTTTGGACTGGATTGGCCCTTTAGATTTGTTGCAAACTGATATGAGGGGCTTGGCCTTTATACCTTCTGTCATGGCTCTCACTGAAGGCCTTCTTGTGGGAGGGGGTTTGAATGTAAGTGTTACAGTTCCCTGTGTCTAAGGACTGTCAGCAGAAGACAGTATCAGCTGCGTTGGGGGATGGCTGGACCTGACACTGAAGTGGGATCTGCATGGATACACCATATTCATTATAGTTTGTCTCTGTTGCAGATTTCTTAGTTGAAACAATAATTTTATGTCATGTCGTCAAACTGTGTACCCAAAATAATAACCATTGCTTCACAAAAAAATGTGAATTTGAGGGATGGGAAGATGGTAGTGGGAACAGCAAATAATCATAGTCATGAGGTATATTTCACATAGTATATTTTATAATTGAAAAGGAAGGCTGTACCCAAAGATGTAAAAAGTAGTAGTAGGCCAGTTTGTTTCCATATGTAATGTTTTCTATAAGACATAGCCCTTGCTTAAGTATGCACACCTAGGTCCAATGAATTGTATTGATATATTTGTGTCACTCTTTGATGTCTCACACATAATAGTCATGGTTATTTGTTTTTCACATATTGTGTCTCAGTATTTGCATACATTTATTTTTAGAATCATGGGGCCACCAAAACCCAGCATTTGAATGACCTTCCAGAGTATCTTTCAAATGTTATCAAAATACTTTCATTAACACAGTGTTGTATGATACACTCTGCTTTTTAATACGAGTATTGGATTTCCCTGGTGACTCCTGCCTGCAGTGCAGGAGATCCAGGTTCAATCCCTGGGTCAGGAAGATCCCCTGGAGAAGGAAATGGCAACCCACTCCAGTATTTCTGCCTGGAGAATCCCATGGATGGAGGAGCCTGGCAGGCTACAGTCTGTGGGGTCGCAGAGAATCAGACACGACTGAGCGAATCTCGGTCTTCTCTTCTAGACAGCTTATTAAAAAGCAGAGACATTACTTTGCTGACAAAGGTCTGTATAGTCAAAGCTATGGTTTTTCCAGTGGTCAGGTATGGATGTGAGAGTTGGACCATAAAGAAGGCTGAGCGCTGAAGAACTGTTGCTTTTGAACTGCAGTGTTGGAGAAAACTCTTGAGAGTCCCTTGGAGATCAAAGGAAATCAAACCAGTCAATCCTAAAAGAAATCAACCCTGAATATTCATTGGAAGGACTGATGCTGAAGCTGAAGCTCCAGTACTTTGGCCACCTGATGTGAAGAGCTTATTCATTGCAAAAGACCCTGTTGCTGGGAAAGATTGAAGGAAGGAGGAGAAGGGGATCACAGAGGACAAGATTGTTGGAGGGCATCACCG